ACAACCCTCTCTCTTCAATTTCTTTTTCATCTCCTTCTCTCTCTTACTTTTGATTACTTCGAGTGGAAAAGTTCATTATCAATTGCTTGATTAACTTGTTGATTTGTCGGATATTCACACGGATAACATCTTTGTCTACTCGATTGAAAAGGAAGATTAGCAATGTCGTCCATTCCAGTGCCTCTAATTCCCACGCCTCCGCCTCACTCAACGCACGCAATGCATCAAGCCTCCTCAACTCTCCCTCTCTCCCCCTCATCTGCAGCAGCATCCGTTCGTCGTGTGCATACAATCTCATCCTCTACATCCCGAGCTCGTTCACGCATCGCCGAGGAGCGCGATGATTGGGAGAACGGCGAGGGAGTGGAGGAAGAGTATGCTTACGAAGGACTTGGCGGTGTCGGCGAAGAGGTGTGGCAGGAGAACTTGGGATGGGAGGGCGATGGACTCCAGAGGCACAACTCCATGCCTAGTCGCTACAATAGAGGCAAGTCATCTTTCCTGTCAATTGCCATCATCTCTCCGTGCTCTCCGGAATTGAGGATACATGCTGATGCGATCGTTTGACAGCCTTTGCATCGAGGTACAACCAGCCGTCTCCCCCGCCAGGAGGACAGCTCAGGATGAAGAACTCGTTGCAGCAGATCCAAGCTGAAGCGGAGGAGCAGGGGGAGGAGGACTGGGAGCGGGAGATGCGAGGCTTACGCTCAGGAGGCGAAGATGTACTGCTGTCCCTTTTCGCATCTATGTGGCCTATCTTATCTGACTGACCTGGTGTAATCCTAGGCCTCTACTGATCCGGCGCTTTCACCGACGGACGCTCTCCCTACGCCTATCAGTGGCCCGCAGCACACCCACTCGCGGTCCCACTCCCAGTCCTCGACTTCGTCCCCTCTCTCCCCTTTCCTTCCCTCCCTCTACCCCGGCCCGGGTCTGCCAAAGCAAATGCACGACGACCTCACCTCGGACATGCGGCGCGCACACTCGCTCACTTACGGCCAGCGACGGGTTTCTGAGCGCCTGGCGCGCTCTCCGGCGTTGCGGAACCCTGGGTCCACCACAAGCAGTCGCGGACACGGACAGACTGCGAGCATAGGAAGCAACTCTTCTGGTGGAGCGGTCGAGGGCAGTGGAGAACAACTCTCCCCACCCACATCCCCCGTCCGTGCTTCTCCTTGGGCCACCCCTCCTCCCACCGCCAGTGTTCAACAGCAACAGTCCGCAGTAGATATGACTACTGGACCGGTGCTAGACCCCGCCTGGGAAGCACGGCTTGAACAGGTGCAGCGTACCATCGCCCAGTTCGCTCTAGACGGGGCAGCACACATGATGCCGAACCCTGCGACGGCTGCGAGCTCGGGAACGTCCACCCCGGCCTTCTCCGCACCTCGATTTGCGCAAGCGGCTGGCGCTGCAGGTGCACATCTTGTCAGTACGCCTGCTTCTCCGCCTGCCCCTCCGCTGGGACAGCCTTGGTCTCCTCAGCCTCAAGCCCGTCCTCCGCTCAATCTCGTCACCACCCCCTCCTCGCCGCCTCCCAAGGGCCCTACCTCCTCGCAGGCCGCTTTCCCACCCCTTGGGCACGGGCAGCACACCAACCCATACCTGCCAGCGCAGTACGCACATACACCGCTCTCTTTGCCTCCGCAAGGTGTGCCCAACGTTGGTCTCGGCATGGGTGCGGGCATGGGCGGTATGAGTGGCATGGGCAATATGGGCATGGGCATGGGCATGGGCATAGGCATGGGCGGTATGAGCCCTGGTGTAGGTGGGATGGGGTTAGGTATGCCCGGAATGCTGGGAGGGATGCCTGCTCCTCCGCCCCTTCCCGCTGGTTACTCGGGCAAGCATGTCCAGCGTCCCAGTACGAGCAGTACCGAGAGCGCCACCGGTACTGGGGCCAGCCCCGCCCCTAGTCCCTCTCTCATCCCCGGTATAGCTGGCAACGGGAACGGAGGGTTAGCACCACCGGAGCAAGACCAAAGTATCAACAATCGCACCCCTACCCAGGGAGATTTTGACCGGCTCAGCGCACCTGGCGCAAACCTCCGCCGAACGCAGGCGATCCGTGTTTTCCCTGCTGGCTCGCATGCGCACCATCATCAGCAGCAACAGCAGCAGCAGATACAAGAACAGCAGGGTGCGTTCTTGGGCATGAGCTTGGGCGAAGCGCTCGCTGCTGCTTCGGCTGGAAGTGTAGGGGAGGGCTTGACGAGCCCTATCGACGTGCCTGCGCTAATCGCGGCTAAGGGGTATAACCCGCCCACGTTTGATACGCAAGCGCCTTTCGTACGTCTTCAATTTTATGAGTGATACTCGCGCTGACGTGTGTGACAGGCGAGGTACTTCGTGATCAAGTCCTACACGGAGGACGACGTGCACAAGTCATTGAAGTATGAGATATGGTCCTCCACCGAGCCTGGGAACAAGCGTCTCGACCGGGCATTTAAGGAGTCTGCCGGGCGAGGGCCGATATACCTCTTCTTCTCCGTCAACGCTTCAGGCCACTTCTGCGGTGTCGCGGAGATGCTTACCCCACTGGACTATACCAGGAGCTCGACGGTGTGGGCACAGGATAAGTGGAAGGGTGTGTTCAAGGTCAGGTGGATCTTTGTAAGGGACGTGCCGAACTCGGTCTTGAGGCATATCAAGTTGAAGTGAGTGCTCCCTTTGTTGCAAGCGCATGGCGTGCGCTGATGAAGGTATAGCAATACCCAGGAGAAGAAGCCGGTAACCAATTCGAGGGATACCCAGGAGCTTCTTCAAGATGCAGGACAGGAGATGCTTCGTATCTTCCTCACGCATCCAGCGAGGACGAGCTTGCTGCAGGATTTCATTTACTATGAGGTAGGCGAGTCCTCTATTTGAAGAAGGCTGTGTTGCTGACTTTCTTGCAGCAACAAGCTCAGCTTAGGGCTGTTCAAGGGACTCCACAAATGCAGGGCGGTGCTATTCCTCAGCAGCAACCCGCTCAGCAGATGCAAACCCAAACATTCCAGACTCCGGTACTTCCCTATGCCCAGCCAGGACAGCGCTCCACTCCTCCACCTCAAATGTCCATTCAGCAACCCTTCCCGTCCTTCGCCCCACACGGTATGGGTCTTCCCCAACCGCCATTTGCAATGCCGGCGCATACCCAGCTGGCGCGCACGCCGTCGCCACAGTATGAGCAGACCTTGCAAGGGATCTTGAGGCGGAGTCAGGGACAGAGCCAGAGCCCGAATCCTCAGCAAATGGGGGGGGTCGGAACGGCCGGCGTGCAGCTGCCTGGCGGTGCGACGGGAACACCGTTCATACCCAGCGCTGTGGGTATGAGGGGCTTCTGAATGTTGTCCTCAGTGCTACCGAACAACGAACGACCTTCACAGATAATCATCGCAAGAAACCGATTTAGACGACAACGAAAGTCGAAATGATAAGAACCGCTCCGTGCATATGCCCTCTCTTTTCCTTTTCAGTTTTCACAAATCACCCGTATTTCCTTCGCAAGGACAGTGCGCGAACTCATACCTGTACCCTGCACACACCCCAACCCAAATTCACGTTCTCTCCCTCCCATTTCTGTTTTCTCCTGCTTTCTCCCCTATGCTCACTAACGAATGGAATGCGAGAAGAACTGAATCGCAGTTGAACTTGCCTAAACGCATGGACTGCCCTGCCGGATTTTGGACAATGGCTTGTGCGACGACGACATGACATGACATTTATCATAGTTCTTGTAGTTGTGCATTCTTCCTTTGTGCAGAGCCTGTTCTCTAGTCCAGAGTTGTATCATATGTAGGGCAATGGGCGAGGAAGAAATGGAATTGTTCACATGTGGATTTGTACAGGTATGTGGTGAAACAGATCGTTATCATGTTGTCCATAGGCAAGATGTGACTATCTGAGGTTATCATCCTTAACAGACAAGTAATGCACAAATGAAGCCACCTCAGTTCCCTCCATTCGTACCTTCGTCTAACTCCATTCGTATGGAAGCGAACATCCATAGTTGTACCCAGCAGGACGGCATGGAACGCAGGATGCAGGACGCAGAACACGCAGGTAATATCCACAACAACACCCAGTTTGCTGCTGTATTCGTCGGCTAGGTACCCACTGCCGTCGGGATATGCCGTCTTCGCTATTTGCCGGCGTTCCCGTTTTGTGCTGTTGCCTGAAATGGATGCGCCGAGGAAGATCCCCACGATATAATGCTGTCTGACCCAGCTACACTCGGCATATACATGGCAGATATGTAGATGCGCGGTCTAGTATTCATTCATTCTTCTTTCCTGTCTAGAATACACTTGCTTCCCGTAGCAGGGGCATATCTCTTTTCGTCCTCGCTCAGTCCGGTCAATGGAACTTCCCTTGTCCCCAAAGTCTGTTCTTCGCTCCCATCTCCACCGCCGCCAGCCCCCAATCCCCACCATGATTATGTTTCTGCCCCTCTCCCAAGCCAGCTCTAGCCAGCGCCTGCTCGTCGTTCAAGCACGTAAGCACGCCAAAGATGACCGGCACGCCTGTGTCCATCTGCAGCTTCATAAGCGCCTGGGAGGTCGCATCGCAGATGTACTCGAAGTGCATCGTCGACCCTTTGATCAGTACACCGATGGCAATTATCGCGTCTAGGGTGGAGGTGGAAGCGCCGGTTTGGGCGACGGGTGCAGGGCCGGCGAGCGAGAGAAGGGCGGTGGAGTCCATTAGGTCCGGGGCAGCGCTGCTAGCCTGCAACTGAGAGGCAGCGATCATCCTTTGCCCTTATAAGCTACCTCCCACACACATTAGATTGACACGCACCTAGAGCAAGCGAAAGGCAGCTCATAGCTCCCCGGTACTTCTTGCACCACGACGTTCTCCTGCTTCACCCCCCTCTCCCTCAGCTTGCCCAGTGCACCAGCAACGAGCGCATCGACGACCTGCTTATTCCACCGTGTATGTACGATGCCTATCCTGAGGCCTTCGCCGGAGAAGGTATCGGTAGAGGAAGTAAGGCCTTTGAGTGTGTTGTCAGCCATATCGTGCCCGTAAGTGGAGAACCCGTGTGGGACGTGGCAAGGGGCGCTAAGTGGCTGTGCCGAGTGAGTAACCCAAACGGTTATTAATAGGTTCCCTAACCACGTGGCGCTGAGTCGCGTTAGACGGGGAGTCGGGCTGAGGATGAAATGTTCTCCACCAATCCTTTTGCACCTCCAACGCATGCGGGTGTGGTTTGAATGTCAGATTAGGAGTCCGATTGGTGGTGTTGTGTTTGGGGCATTCGGCAGTTCGATATCGCTGCACCGAAAGAAGTGATGTAAAAGAAGAAATGTATTTACGACAGTGGAGAGGATATTGCTGGAAATCAGTTCTTGCGTTCTCTCACGCCTACGAGTGCTGTCAACGTGGTCAACTTCTGTCATTAAATTTAAATACCAGAAGGAGATTTCATAGGTCTCAACCGTAGCTCCACGCACTCTGCAGCAGAACGATAAGCACTAGCTTTGGAGGCATGTCGGAACAGGGCGGAAGTGTCCGAAGTCTTCATTCACCCTGACAGAGACATAAACAGAGAAAATACCGATGACCGCGCACCTGCCCGTGTCGATCGCTTGAGAGGTGTATAATCGCCCGCAAGCTGTCCTCATTTTTCGTTGACATTTACTAAATATTCGCACGCTTAACAGTGTCACCAAGGCTCGTGTGCTCTGATGAGTGAATTTTCAACGGGTCTAGATGGATGTAAGGGAAGCAGGGCGCTGAGGGAGGCAAGTGGGTGGTGATCACTCTCTTTCCCTTTGGGTTCGACCCTCCATCCTTCTCATCAGCAAAGTGTTCTACATTGTCTGTGATACATTCCTCGATCGAGCCGGCTAGTCGATCGACAGAACCCGGATCGAGAACCTTGCTTAGGGGCGCAGTATATAACCCTTCCCCCTCTTATCTCTCTCCCCTTCATTCCATCCCCCCAAACGCCAGCAATGTCAGGCGACGAGAACGAGCCTGCGCCAGTCGTACCCCCCTCTGAGGGAGACGGACAACCGCACGCTGTCTCCCCCGTAGACGACGCGGAGGAGAAGGCATCTTCTGCCTCTGTCTCCCCTCCTGCCCCACTCGACCAGGACGCGCACCACATCGCCTTCTCCCGCCCGGAGGAGGACGAGAAGCACCAGCATGCTGCTGTTCCCGTCGTTCGCCCTCCAGGGGTAGGAATGCGCCGGCAATTGACACAGGAGCAGAAGGAGCTCAGTGCTGCTGGATACGCGCATTTGCAGGAGGAGAGAGCGGCCAAGGCCAAGGAGAAGGGCAAGGGGAAGAAGGAACTTGACCTCGAGGAGAAACAGGTCGATATCGTACGTGCCCTTCTTTTGTATGAGCCGTTGCTGAGGCTTGTGATAGCACGAACACCAGTACACGCCCGCCCGGGTGATGGACGAGTTCCATACCACGTTCGCCCTGCCCCCCTTGGCAGCAGGTACAAGTATCGGTCTCTCCGAACAAGAGGCCGCCGCCAGGCTCAAGCGTGACGGGCCCAACGTGCTCACCCCTCCCAAGAAGAAGAGCGCTTTACGACGCGTGAGTATCTGACTGTTGTACTGTGCTGTGCCGGGCTGATTCCCTCAGTTCTTTGACTGCTTGAGCAGCTTGTTTAACGTGTTGCTGATCATTGCAGGTGTGCTGGAGTACATCCTCCTGGGTATCGATTTTGCGGTGCGTGTATGCGTTCCGGGTAGCAGCGCTCTCACACCTCGATAGGACAACCAAGCAAACGAATATCTTGGAGCGATTCTGATTGGAGTAGCTTGTATGCCCCCCCTCCTCGCTCCTCCCTTGCTCTTGACTACTGACTGATCTCCGCGTTCGCAGTCCTCAACGCTGGGATCGAGTTCTACCAGCTTCAGAAGTAGTCCGGCCCTCTGCTTTGCGCCTTTCGGCTGATTCGATGATAGGTCGGAGGCTATACTCGCTTCGTTTCTTGCTATGATCCCTCCTACCTGCCGGGTGGTGCGCGAAGGCAAGCTCTCCAGCGTTCCTGCGGCCAGTTTGGTCAAGGGTGACGTGGTGCTTATTGTACGCCCTCCCATTTTTCCTTATTTGGGGAATGGGTAAAGGCTGAACTTGAACAGCGCATGGGCGACAAGACCCCCGCAGATCTGTATATCTTTGCGGCTACGGATCTGAAGGTTGACAATAGCTCGCTTACCGGAGAATCTGAGCCTCAGGAAAGGCGATGCTTGCCTGAGGGCAGTACAGCCCGGACTGTAGAGGCTGAGAACCTCGCCTTCAACTCGACGCTTATCGTCAGCGGTGAAGGCTACGGCGGTACGTCCAGCACTGTTTTTCGAGTGTTGTTGTTGATGTTCTGCTAGTCGTCCTCCGTACCGGAGACAACACGTTCATCGGGCAGATCGCCTCCCTTACCGGGTCCGAATCAGGCAACCGTTCCCCGCTCGCGATCGAGATTGACCACTTCGTACTCATCATCTCCTGCATCGCTATCATCACCGCGGTCATCTTCTTCGCCATCGGTATCGGCAGCGTGTACAAGGGCAAGGCCGCCCAGACCGTTACGTTCGCCGTGTCGGTGCTTGTTGCCTGGGTGCCTGAGGGTCTTCCCGCTACCGTCACTCTCCTTCTCTCTATCGCCGCTAAACGCATGGCTAACCAGAACGTGCTCGTTAAGGACCTCCAGGGCGTTGAGACCCTCGGCGCGCTCACCCTACTCGCGACGGATAAGACCGGGACTCTGACGCGCAACCAGATGACAGTTACGAACATATGGATCGGCCTAAAGATGTACAGCGCCTTCCAGTCAAACAACGATGCCGCCGACACCCTCCCATTCGATATCAAGGCCTCTGGTATGAGGGACATTATCAACATCGCCGTGCTCAACTCGAAGATCAAGTTTGACCGTACGGACGTGCCCTTTGACCAGCGCGAGATCCTCGGCGATGCTACTGAGACCGGACTCACGCGGTTCGCGGGAAGGAACGAGCCGAGCTACGACAAGATGCGCGAAGTGCACGAGAAGGTATTCGAGATCCCCTTCAACTCGGAGAACAAGTGGGCCCTCGTCATCGTCAACATGAACCATGTAAACGGCCAGCTGAGGGTGATGATGAAAGGCGCCCCGGAGCGCGTGCTCATGAAATGTGACACGTACCTCTCTGCTGACGGAAAGTCACTTCCGCTCACGGACGATATCAAGAAACAATATGACGACGCATACAACTATATGGCCTCCCGTGGGCACCGGGTTATCGCTTGCGCACAGATCCTGCTTCCGGGGGACAAGTACCCTGCCACTTACCACTTTTCGAAGCAGGAAAACAACTGCCCCGTGGAGGGATACTGTTTTGTCGGATTGGTATCGCTCGAAGACCCACCTAAGCACGGCGTGCGCGAGGCGATCGGTACGCTTCGGAGTGCGGGGATAAAGGTGATGATGGTTACTGGTGATCATCCTAAGACGGCCGAAGCGATCGCACGCAAGATCAGTAAGTCGGCACGGCGTTGATATTGATGTATGGACGCTGATTGTTTGGCTAGATCTCATTATTGGTGACACGAAGGAATCCCTTGCACGCAAGACTCACAGGGTGAGCTGTCCTTTGTGTAGATGAACCCCATTGTGTTAAACAACACACTAGCCCGTCGATCAGATTTACGCAGATGAGGTCGAGGCTGTTGTCGTTCATGGTGACCGGATCGACTCCCTCCAGCCCCATGAGTGGGACGAGAGTACGTTGACAACGCCCTCATTTCCGTTTGTTCCTGATGAATCACAGTCCTCAACACGAGGGAAATCGTGTTTGCTCGTACCTCGCCTAAGCACAAGCTGGAGATCGTTAAACACGCTCAGGCTCTGGGTCATATTGTTGGAGTGTACGTACCCAGTTTGTGCGAGGCTCGAACCTGACATTGGATGAATAGTACCGGCGATGGTGTCAACGATTCTCCTGCCCTCAAGAAGGCCGACCTTGGTATCGCGATGAACATCAGCGGTTCTGACGTCTCTAAAGAAGCAGCCAACATGATCCTGCTCGACGATAACTTTGCCTCCACAGTCAAGGGTGTGACCGAGGGTCGCTTGATCTTCGCCAACTTGAAGCGTTCTATTCAATACACCGTCTCCCACTCTGTGCCCGAAGTCATCCCCCAGCTGCTTTATGTCGTCGTGCCGATTCCGCTCCCACTGTCTGCTATCCTGATTCTTGTCATCGGTATACTCTGACTTCTTTCGAGTCGAAGCTGGCTGACGTGATTTGTAGATCTTGGGTTTGAGCTCTTCGCTGCCTTGTCTTTCGCCTGGGATCCTCCCGAGTCTGAGCAAATGATGCGTCTGCAGCCTCGTAAGCCAGTCACTTCGGGTTCCATTGTCAGGCGCAAGCAGCGGGCTCTCCGCCGCACCAAGACCATGCACTATGATGAAGAGACTGGAGATCCTATCCCACCCAGCTGGGGTCGGAAGATGCTCATGCATCTCCAGTCCCCATTCACAAAGAGCTTCTGGCTTGACCGATTAGAGAAATCAGACGATGAAATCCTCGTGGACGGCAAGCTTCTGTCATATGCCTATTTGGAAATTGGTGTCATTGAAATGCTCGGTGCTTTGGTTGCGTACTTTGTAGTGTTCTACAAAGCTGGGTTCTCTCCCTACGATCTTCGTCGAGCTCAGGATGCTGGAAGTGGCTCCAACCCTATTGTTTATTTCACGGCCGGCAGTCCTGACTTTGTCAATGCCCGTGGACAGACGGTAAGTTCTCCCTTTACATCTGACAGCTGTAACTAATGATTGCATTCAGCTCAACGGCGCCCAGCAATACGATGCTCTGGCGCAGGCCCAATCTATCACTTACTTGTCGATCTACATCGCCCAATGCTTCAATATGTTCGCAGTCAAGGCCAAGTTCAAGTTCCCCTTCGGCAGACAGATCATCAGCAACTATTGGAACTTTGCAGGCATCTTCTGCGGCGCTTGCTTGGCTATGTTCATCATTGTAAGGTCGCACAAGATGATCACTGTCGATCGCTAACGTTCCCATAGTACACACCGCCCTTGCACGTCGTGTTCGGTGGCAGTTACCACTTGTCGCCTCTCTATTGGCTCATCCCTGCCGCATTCGGTGTGCTCGTCATTGCTTGGTCTTCCATCCGCGTTATGCTCCTGCGTCACGCTATCGAGGATGCTACCGTAAAGCCTATTAAGGGCCTGTTAATGTGTACGTCTGGGCTCTACCTTATTCTACTCTTGTTGACCCGCTGTTAGTCCCGACGATGAGAACGATGAGTATTAGAGCTAGACAGAGCAGCTCCGAGAAGAGAGAATAACATAGGCTGTCGCGCTTGCGCCGCATTTTTCGCAACGGTGTAGGCTAACAGCGACAACCCCTCGGACACCACATACACTATCCCAACATTCGTTACATAACCCCCTCTCCAAGCCCCAACCGTACACGACCCTTGATCTCAAATATGTCGTTCAAAAGTCTTTCGAACCGACTTCGGGCTCAAAGCACAATTTTCATTTCCTATCTAGTTTCACAAAGGAACTTCAGAATATAAGCACAAAAAGAAAACTTGTCGGTTCTGGAAATATACACGTTTACCTTAGAAGAGCGGCGGGAAGTCTACATCACTCGTAAAGTTGCATCTGTCAGATGTGGAGGTGCTTTGCACCGTAAAACACGCCATGGGAAGGTCGAACATCCGGCCGTGGCTATCAAGCATTAATGCAGTGCCAAGAAGCCAAATTGGACCGAAACCCCTCCTCATTGAGAAGAGCTTTGGTTCTCTTCCTTGGTTCCCTTCCGAGTTATTACGTACTCCCCTGCGGTCAATGCGTGAGATTCTTCCTTCCGGTGGTATGTGTGCTCCGGTATACGGCCGCCCCTGCTTCGCAAAATCATGATAATATCCTCCTGTCGGGCTTCTAGTCTCGAGAACGTCTTGAAAAGGGTTGATCTGAGCGATGCCCCGCAGTCATTGCGATACTCGGTGCCGTCTGCTTGTTCGTGACTTCGGACATTCCGGCAGATCGTACCACCGCCGCAAGAGAACGAGAGCGTCGTTATAAGCCAAGCATTGAATTGTCAAGGCGTAACTCGTCGTCTCTCGTTGCCCTCACCAGTCCATGATGCTCAACTTCTTGCTTGCTTGTCTTCAAGCTAGCGCCAGCGCCGGGGCAGCAGTTGGCGGTCCCCAAGTCGCCCTCGAGTACGGCACCTTCCTTGGCTGGACGAACACTTCTAACGGTGTCGAGCTTTTCCTCGGTCTTCCGTACGCCGCCCCTCCAGTCGGGGACAAGCGGCTACGTCACCCCGCCCCTGTGAACAGCTTCCAAGGGGTGCAGGACGCCACGCGGCAGAAAGCCGACTGTATGCAGGCCCCATCTGCGCTGAACCCGATCCCCGCTAGTCTTCTCGAGGATTTTGCCAATATCAGCGCCACAACGTCTTCCCGGCCCGGTGTGGTTCAGACGGCGAACACGTCAGAGGGCTGTCTGTACGTCAACCTCTTCCGTCCGGAGGGGACGAGGGAGGGCGCCAAGCTGCCAGTACTGTTCTGGATCTATGGCGGGGGAGGGATAAACGGTAGAATATCGGCCTACGTCCTCCCGGGGCAGAACATTGTCCAAACCTCGGTGGAGAACGGCCAGCCGATCATATTCGTCGCGGTCAATTATCGCATGAGCATATGGGGGTTCTTGCCCGGCCAGGAAGTGATAGACGCAGGAGTGTCGAACCTCGGTATACTCGATCAACGCGCCGCGTTGGACTGGGTGCAGAAGTACGTTGCTGCATTCGGCGGTGACCCCGAGAACGTCACGGTGCGTCTTGGGGGCTGCAGTGGTGTTTGCTTGACATGCTGAGAAGCACAGGTATCGGGAGGGTCGGCAGGAGCGATATGCACGTTCTTCCAGCTGCTGATGTATGGCGGCCAGAATGCACCGTTTAAGCGTGCGATCCTCAAATCGGGCTCGCTCGTGCCTATGGCTCCCTCACCCGCGGCGTACCCGCAAGCCCGGTTCGACAAGTTCGTTGCGCTCGTCGGGTGCGCTGAGGCTGTGGACAAGATCTCCTGTCTCCGGGGGGTGCCGAACGAGCTCCTGGCGGAGAGTGTGGGGAACACGACGTTTTGGTGGACGATCAAGGATCTCGTATTATATGCGCCTCAAGTCGACGGGTGGACACTGCCGGATACGCCACAGAACTTGCTCAGGCAGGGAAGGTTCGCAAAGGTGCCGATTATTGTTGGGGACGTGATGGATGAAGGAGCGGGATTCGAGGCCTTCTGGTGTAACGTTACTGATGAAGAGGGGTTCGAGGGATGGATGGAGAGTACGTACTTCCTGCTTCCTTTGTGATGCATTACCCTGATGGGGATAGGTATGGCGGAAGGACTGACGGCGGAGAGTGAGTGAATAGACCTGTATGTGAAGGGAAGGCTGAAGAGAAATAGCGCTGCCTACCCACAAGATCCGGCCCAGGGAAGTCCATTCGGCACAGGCAATCGTAAGCAGTTCACATGCGATTGAACTTGAGTTAACAGGTGCATAGTGTACCAGCTCACACCCCAAACCAAGCGGGTAAGATGACAAAGTGCAGGATAACAACAGTCACTAACACGCGGCCAGATGAACGCAATCTTCGGTGACTACCTCTTCGTCGCTGCCCGCAGGTTCGTCCTCTCCCAGTACACTGCACAAGGGCTACCAGCGTGGTCCTACCTCTACGGACATAGCCGCACAGCGTGGTACGGCGCCTCCCACGGATCGGACATCGCCTCCCTCTTCGGGCTTCTCAAGGACCAAGTGAGCAGAGGGATGATGACCGCATATATCTCTTTCGTCACTACTGGGAACCCGAATGCGTCCCCTGTTGGAGGGGCTTACTGGCCGATGTGGGCGGAGGGGAGGGGACAGATGATATGGGGCGTGAATGGGAGCGATGTGAGTGTTGTAGGGTTGGACAATTATCGAGAGGTTGGGATGGATATCTATGGGGAAGTGATCGATCAGTTCATGTATTAGAGTAGTATGGATATGTGCGAGTCATTGGCACACTCTTCGCCGACACCGCCAAGTCCTTCGTAAGCATACTCTTCCTCCACTCCCTCGCCGTTCTCCCAATCATCGCGCTCCTCGGCGATGCGTGAACGAGCTCGGGATGTAGAGGATGAGATTGTATGCACACGACGAACGGATGCTGCTGCAGATGAGGGGGAGAGAGGGAGAGTTGAGGAGGCTTGATGCATTGCGTGCGTTGAGTGAGGCGGAGGCGTGGGAATTAGAGGCACTGGAATGGACGACATTGCTAATCTTCCTTTTCAATCGAGTAGACAAAGATGTTATCCGTGTGAATATCCGACAAATCAACAAGTTAATCAAGCAATTGATAATGAACTTTTCCACTCGAAGTAATCAAAAGTAAGAGAGAGAAGGAGATGAAAAAGAAATTGAAGAGAGAGGGTTGTCATGCGTTGGTCGTGGGATCCCTTGCCCATTCAATCTCGTGCCCACCCAACAGGGAAATGCGGTGCTAGCTGTGCTCCTTCCTCATCCCTTTTCGTCATCTTTTCCTGCCACGTCCGACAACAAATCTAATAATTTCTCTCTTCTTCATCATACTAGATGTTGTAGCACTAAGTCCGCGTAGCTAAACAATATCTCGCGGTGTGAACACATCACGATTCTACATTTTTTTTTTTGGCTCAGAATTAAACTCTTGGCAGGCAAGTCAGCTCATGAAGAAGCGGTGCTCCTGACAGCCTCCCACTGGTCCGGAGGTGAAAGACCCTTTGATCCATCAAGCTTGGTATTGCCAGAGCAGGAAGTGGTAGCACTGAAGAATACTAATGTGCATCACATCAATTTACAAGGTTGTATAATTCAAAC